ATTGCACAAAAATGGCATTGCGCACTCCCTTGACTTTATCCGTGTACACATTGACCTATTTTCACTTAAAATGTCAAAGAAAATTGACAGAAATCCAATTCTTCTTACTCTTGTAAAAAGCGCCAAAGAAACGCCAATCAAATAAGTGGGCGATTCTGCACTTTAGCCGCTTCTCTTTCGTTGATGCTCCAGTGTATTTCCACTCCATGGTGCTCTTTTGGTTGTGAGGATGAGATCAGGAAGTCACGTTTCGTCTCCCAAAACAATGTGATTAATGAAGTGCTGGAGGTCTGAGTGATACTGCTGAAGAAACGTGGCACTGCACATCATTCGTGCGTTTTTCTCTTCCTCGGATGATGCACGTGAACGCGATTGCTCGCACAGTTACCCGTCGATCATTTTGAATTATTTCTTCAGCTCGTGCCGAGTTGATTTCTGTCGCTGAAGAGCTTGAATCGCCACTTGCTGCGGTATTTCGGTTTTCCAAACAACCTCTCTGCACTACTGAAAACAGCAACACCATTTCACTAAATGTTACCTGCTCATTACTTCTTCACCATAAACTTCCACGATTTGACTATGGATTTTAGATACGGTCACATACTTTGCCCATTAGAAATAAATCACGGTTCTTACTTTCCTGCAGTCCGCTTTCCTAAATGTTTTGCCGTTTCAATCACACTAATACCGCCCAGACGGTATAGTGGTTAGGAGAGCCTGACTGTGATACCAAAGGGACCGGATTCGAATGCTCGAGAAGGCATGGATGTAAAATTGTCTGTTCTTTCATAGGATATAACGGTGGCCGCCTATTAGGTGCCTCTACAATAAAATGGCCACCACTTCTGGCTTTGGTAGTGGCCAATGCCGATATAGGCAAGTGCCTGCCATTGCAAAAAAAAATCACTCTAACGCGTCTGCGAACTTACGCTACCTATACGGACTGGTCCGTGACACTTATTCGAAAATCATTTCACCGACGAAACATTAAACGACAACAGTTAGCCGACACGTATATTAATCCCGACATGGATATTTAGCATACAGGTCACTTAGCCGACAGTCATTTAACAGACACGGACATTTAGCCGACAAGACATTTCAGCCAGCAGCAGGTTTAATTGATAACACGTATATATAGACATCCTTATTTATTTGAGAAAATGGCTGTTTCCAGGGTACCCAACTAGAAAGTTTATAAATAACCATACTTTTCACTTTACTATTTAAGAAACTCTGGATTTTAAAATTAAGCATAAAAGGAACTTTATTTTGGTGTAGATTTTGAAATCAATTTCGAGAGAAATTAGACATATTGGTTCTATATTTTGGTTTGGTTTGATTTATTTGATTATAACAAAACACTTGAAGGCTATATGCCTAAGGAAAGGGATGTCTTCGTGAAGGACTTTCTAAGGAGAACTGGCTCTTATGAACGTTAAGCATGAGAAAGCCACGGAAGCGACCATGCAGCCAGCACGTCCAACAGGACACGAACTAAGGCCCAAACTACCAGTGTTCAACGACTTTAATGCTTGGCAGATGGTGGACAGGGTCTCTGTATTTCGGAATTGAGATAGAAAATCTGAGCAATCGGAAGAGAGAAAAAATTTTGTGTTTGAATAAATGACTGGAGCAAAACGGTAACAAATGTAACGCGATTTGTGCCGGAAGATAATAATGAAAAGTGAAAAAGCTAAGATATTATACATTTCTGAAAGCGTTGAAAAATTAATGGCATTTACTAAAGTAAAAAAAAAAAAGTGTTAGTGTGAAAGGGTTCAAAGAAATCTAATTTACATTATATTTGTTCTCGCTTTGCCTCGCTCATTCTTTCTATAATAAAATCATTTCACTATTCCGATTGCTGAAATTTTCTTTCCCATTTCTGAAATTTAGAGACCTGTATCTAATTACTCTCGGAAAATATTTCAAAATCTACACCAGAATAAAGTTGCTTTTGTGTCCACTTTTAAAATTCGTAGTTTCTTTAACATTTTATTAGGTAAAAAATATGGTACTTGTTCATAAATCTTCTCGTTGGGGTACCCTGGAAACAGCCTTTTTCCCCAGATAAATGTAAAAAAATTTTACTAAAACATAGTCACATGTTTTTTTTTATATGTACGCGTTAACAGCTAAATGTACTTCCGCTAAACGTCTTGTCGGTTAAATGTCCTGTCGGCTAAATATCCTGTTGGCTAAACGTCTTTGTCGGCTAAATGTCCGTGTGTCCTGTAAGCTAGATGTCTCTGTCAGCTAAATGTCCGTGTCGGCTAAATATCTTGTCGGTTAACTTTCCCTGTCTACTAAATGTACGTGTTGGTTAAATGTCCTGTTGGCTAAGTGTCCGCGACCGTACGCTTTAAGACAAATAGCGCAATCTGTTTCCACTCTAAGAAAAAATATTGCCTCCACAATAATTACTTTTCAATGCTAACAATCTTTTTCTTAACCCATCTACGTATAAATTAATAAATTATGTATGGAAATGAATTTTCAGAGATGTAATACTTAAATAAACGACGAGGATTTGAGTAGATTCAACATTAAAAAATACACAAGAGTGTAAAACGAAGGCACGATCAATCTGAAAGTAAGTTCTCTTACAGGAGTATAAACATAAATTTATATTCTTTATCCTACATCCTACAGCGAGATTAGCTGTCGGTCGATCGCCTGCTTATTCAGAATAATGATAAACTATTATTTTTTGTTTCCTTACACTCTAGTAGATCGCTATGTTTCTGTATGAAGAAGGAGAAAATACTTTCTCCTCTTCTGAAAAAGATGGCTAACCTTGTTTACATTTTAAGATAAGAAAAAACAATCTGGAAGTCTACACTTCAACGTGGCAGATATTGTTTTGATGTACTACCAGTCCGGTTCTTTAAGACAAGTTACGCACAGACAGACAAACACACACATACATATATATACAGGGTGTCTCAGTATCACATTTCAAAACTTCTAGGAAAGATAGAGTGCACCTCAATGACACAGAATCATATAAGGAATGCAGAGTCTGAAATGCTTTTCTGACGCAGTAAATAACGTTGCGCGAAAGTTCCGAGAGTTCTTGAAAAGTATCATCATTTCGCTGAAGGACGCAGAGTTAGTAGGATGAACAATTATACGAACGCAGAGTTAGCCGATACGCATTTGGCATGGGGCTGCAGACTGTAGTGGACCAGCCGCACAGGTTTGTAAGCGGAGCGATATCCTATGAGGAGTGCACCTAGCCATAATTACTTTGCAAGGCTGCACCAGAGGTTAACTGAAACAAATTCTTTTCAAAGAACTGCCTTGAATCGGGAACTATCAGCACGGATTCCGAACATCGAAGAGAATGTGCTACATGAGGTACAGGGAACTACGAGCTAGAGTACGCAAAGTACAGCGCACGCAGTCAAAGTTTCCCATTTCAGCATCTGGAAGATTCTTAGAGAAAACGAAATGCATCCATTTCATGTGCAGCGTATCCAGGCACTTCAACCGGGCGATTATTGACCTCGTCTTCCTTTTGCACAATAGTATATTGAGAGGTGTGCTGCAAATAACCGTTTCTTTGTTAATCTGTTGTTCACTGATGAGGCATTCTTCACAAGGGAAGAAATATTCAACGCACATAACGCCCATCTCTAGACGGTAGAGAGCCGTCATGCAACACGACGTCGTGCAATGCAGAGTTGGTTTTCGATTAATGTTTGGTCCCGCACTGTGGAGCATCACCTTATCAGACTTTAATTGTTGCCTTTTCGTCTAACCGGTTGTAACTACTTGATCTTTCTGCAGCAAGTCATGCCACAACTCTTAGGTGATGAACAGAGTTCTGCATCGATGCGACTGAGAATGTGGTTCCAACACGACGGGAGCCCCAGCCCATTTTAACTATAATGTTCGCACTCACCTAGACGTCACATTTGGCCAACAGTGGATTGGACATGGTGGTTCGGTGCGTTGGCCTGCTCGATCAGGATGTATCATGTCTTGATTTCTTTTGATGGGGTCATATGATGATACTGGTTTATGACAACCCAAGTGGAGAACGCGGAAGAGCTGGTTGCACAAATCGCAGTAGCAATTGGGGAAATTCGCGATATGCTTGGAATATTCCAGAATATTCGGAATTCCATGTACCGTAGACATGAGGCGTGCCTGAAGTCGGTGGACGAAACTTCGAGCTCTGTCTTTGACTCATGGTACTTTTGTTCATGTAAATTTATTTTTAAAACGAATATTAACTTATCTTGTGTCTTTTAATTTATAATGATTCTGTGCACACCAGCACGTCAGGAAAGCATTTCCGACCCTGCATTTTTATATGATTCCGAATCATAGCAGTGCACCCTACCCCAGCTAAAAGTTCTGAAACGTGGTACTGAGACACCCTGTATATATATTTGTATTTGTGTTAAAGTGTGTGCATGTGCATACGTGCGTGTGTGTTACATACTTATGAGTACTGTCTACAAGGTATCGTTTAATCCAGCATCAAAATTTTTATAAAAACCTAGCAATGTTTTCAGTACAAATCCAGTTAAGTCGATGCACTTTTGCAAGTCAGCTCTCTTTCTAACTGTACTACAACAGCATATATCAAGTCGAAGTTGCAATGTCACTTGTTCGTTGACTTGTAAGATCAATTTGATGGAAAGAATGATGCATTATTTCTATGAGGTTATGGAAACCAGTAATTTTCAGAGCTGGTCTGCGCCACTTGGAAAAGACAAAAGTCGCGGCATTTAAGCGACCGTGTAAAAAAGATGAAGAAAGAGTTCTTTCTGGGTTTCGTAATAATTCAATATTCCATCAACGATTAATTTAGGGCCCTGAAAACTGCTAAATGATCTCGATGATACTGGGTTTATGGGACACCTTGCATATTTTTTTTTCTTTATAATGTTCCAGGAAATAATGTTTCTGTTTTTACTAAATATACATCTTATCTGAGAACAGCTAATATTCCTATTTTATTAAGTGCATATCTCGTATTTCAGATTACCCTTTAGATCCAGGAGAAAGATACAGGAACTGCTGGTTAGAAAACCCAACTAGTGAAAATCCTTGCTACTTTGATCCTCGATGGATAGAGGAAGTGTGTTCAAAGAATGACAGCTATGGTTACGAGGAAGTTAATGGCGATTTTAACCCCTGTTTTGTCTTGAAATTTGACAAAGTGAGTGATAATTAAATGCAAGAATGGGAGGAGGTAACAAAAGATTTAAAAAGCTCAGTAATATAAAATCTTTCTTTGTCAAATTGAGCGTTAATTTTCCTCGATAAAATCTTAGCAAAAGAACTTTGTTTTATATGGTGAAAATGTATTCTGTGTCGTGTTTTCTGATAGGAGCTTTCAAAATGCAGTCTAAATGTACTTTCTAAAACAAATCAGTTAATGTTCATTAATTCCAAATCGAAATGTTAGAAATCTAACTTTCTAAGCCTTTTTCTTTCCACACACTTGAGAAAGATATTTCTCTGTATATATTTCTTTGAATTCTTTTAGCTTTTGTGCACTTTTGTCCACTTTAAACAATTTTTCATTATTTTCCTTTATAATACATTTTTTAATAAAATTCCTTGAAAATGTATTAAATAAGAACTTATTTCTTGTATAAAATTTCCTTCTGATTCTGAATCCAACAAGCTTTATATTGCGAAAATAGCTAGATGGGAAGTTAGATATGGAAGCTAGAACAGAAGTTATATATGGGCAAAAATGCTTCTTAGCATACTTGGTGACAAAATGTTTTCGCCAGGTCTGGTTTATCTGATTATGGAAAAGCACTCAAAAACTGTCTAGGTAAAGGTAGGACTTTCTAAAGGAAACTGACTCGTATACACGCTACACATGGGGAAAACCACGAAAAGCCCACGCAGCCGGCTCGTTCGCCAGACCCGGACCGAACTACCAGTGCTCAGTAACTTTACTGCTCAGCCGCTGGCGGGCCTGATTTCAGAGAAAATGCGATACTAAGGGAGTTAGACGACTTGCGTTATACATGAACGGTAGCAACAGAATAAATATTGATACATTAAATACTTTTGCATGTAAATATCCGTGATTAAAGCTATATTTCCTTTTCTACGTGCTTCGTGCTTATTGTATTTCTGCGTTCATATTCCACATTCCATTACACACTGTATTGTGAAAATTGTTATTTTTACCATAAATCAGCCCTTAAAACTGAAACCGTTAGTTCTATTATATTCTTAAATTAAATAACATAGCTTTCTGTCTTGTTGTTATTTGAAGTAATTATGTATTGTTAACAAAACCATCTCGGTTAATTATGAGACAAATTTAAGACTTTTTTAGAGCAGAGAAAATTTGCCCTGACTCTGCTGACGAATGCTTTAACTGTTTATTTAGAAATTGACTTTTACAGTCGAAGGTTAATTCTTTAGAAATAAGTAAAGTTCCTAAAACTCCTTTTAATTTTTTTTTATTACTATTTATTGGAAGACTTGTTTTTAACAATCCTTCAAAAACTTTTCTATACCTCTATAACGGGGTACTTAGAAGGAAGGTAATATTCTATTTAGTCGAAAATCAATTTTATAGTTTTTCAAATAGTTAATATTTTTCGCACAATGATTGATAGCTAACTCTGGGTAAAACAAAATATCTTTACTCTGATCATGTTGTTTGATGAATAGAATCAAATATTTTTTTAATACATTGATTTAAATACATGGAATTACTCAGCTTCTTGAAAAACGACGTTTTCAGAAACATTCCATCATCTTTCATTTGTGGCGTACCATACCATCATAATGATTATTATTTAATTTTTTTGCTTATTTTTCTTTAGGGTTATTCTGAAGTGTATAATGTCAGAGTTAAGGATTGCAGAATTCTGAATTATAATACCTAATACCTCCACGGACATTATTACCAAATATAAAATATGGTGATCCATCACCTATGATGACTTTATGACATTTCCAGGTGGAATTCATTTCTTAAAGATATTAAGGCAAATATTTTCGCTCGAATTCTTTTAGCTTTTGTGCACTTTGATTTTATCTTTTGGTATAAGATTTTAAGCTCACATCTTCCTTATTTCTATGAATAATTCATTTCGATAACTTTAGTTTCCTTGCTACTTAACGAAAGGAAGTTTCCGACTTTTGGACGAATTTCATATAGCCATTTTCATGACCTTTTTGATATCTGACCATTTTTATGATGTTTAAACAGAACAATTTTGCTCTTTTTGGTATTCCAATCGTAAAAAAATACGATTTTTTCCTAAATAGTTTTCGTTAAATCAGTTGCCATTTTATAAACATTTCCAGCATTAAATGAAATTATTGTTATTTTTGAAGAAAATGACATGCTGTTTGCGTTTTTCTCTCTCTTAGCTCATTCTTAACCATGAATTGTCTCATTCTTATCCGAGATGCTCTTTACATGAAGTAATTTAAATTGCATAAAATGTAATTTAAATCACATAAAATGTATTTTATACTTTTCTTAAAAGTAAAGTAATAATATTTTTTATTATAGCTGAAGTTATGGGAACCATTGCTTGTAGAACGGTATTACCTTCATCCATCAGTCACGGAAGACTATGATCCGAGTTTTTTGCCAGTGGCGTGCTCCGCGAGGGTAAATACAATTTTTTAAAAACATAACTGCTATAACAAGCGTTTTTCTGCAGATACTTTGAAGAAGACAGATCTTATCAGTAATATCAATTAATGGCTCTTGTGAGCTGCAGTTTAATAAACAGCATACAGAATTTGAAATGCAGAGTATTAAGCATTTAGAATAATCAAATATTCTCTTTCATTTTAGCTATTAAATGGTTTTTCTTTCGATAACGTATCACATAAGTCCTGCATGATATGAAATTTAATAATTATATTTCAAAATGACTGCCCTTGTTTTCAACATATAAATCCCACGGTATGTTGAAAATAACTATATTGTTACGTTATATTCTCTACCTATTCTTCTGACACCAGTTGTTACGTTATTTTCTTCCTTCACGTTCGTACGGGGTTCGTAGATTTAGAGTGAATAACGACGACGCTTTATGAAGTATCGAAACACACTTTATTTGCCAGTATTGTCAGGACAGCTCCAAAACACATTTTACAGTCGTTAGTGAACTACTATAAACACGCTGACACGATCAGCGACACAGCCTTCGGGTTATCAGGCTATCACGGTGGAGACAGCTTCCTGCAAAGCAGCCGACTCTGCTTTCCGGAGTACAGCTCCAGACTCTGCTCGGTCGTTCTCGGAACACGAGACACACGAGCACAGCTCCTGACTCTTCGGTTTAGTCTTTCCCAGAGCTCAACACACTCTCTCGACGATGCACTAACCGACTCCTTCGGTGGACTCGACGACCCACTCGGCAGTCGTTGCCCGGTTGTCAACTCGATCGACTCCAAACGGCTCGCTAGACGAGGCACACTCTCTGAGAGACACTTCCTCTTGATGAAGCACACCCGCTGACTGCAGACCAGCACGGTTTATATAGCTTTCGGCTTGTGTTCGGGAACATTCTGGACTAAACCGGTAAGAATTCGTTCCACAAGGTTCTCCATCAAAATGGGCGATTCTCGCCAAATGTGGCAACCCTGCCTTCCTTTGCCGTTTTATGGCAACCCTAAAACTGTTTTGCGGGGAAGCCATCTCACCGCGCCTGTACATTTCGTAACAATATTAAAACACGTTCTGTAATGATGGGCTAAATCTGATAAAAAAAAACATAACGGATCTTTCGCGGGGACGACTCAGTGATCTCTCGGTATCTTGTCAAGTATTCTGCAAACTTGCTATTCATTTCTTCTGAAATAGTAGAACATCTTATTGATGATATAACAACATGAGCCAGTATTGGCAAAGATTATGATCTTGTTTAATACTTGCGGATTGTATTGAAATTGATATTCATTTTAAGAGAGCCTTATCGTAGTTAACCAGTCTCTAAGCAACAGGTAAAAGATATGGAATATGCAGCAGCAATATGAAAAGCCTACGACTTTGGGTAAGATACGAAACCAGAAAATTTTGTTTTACAGATAAGCTGCTGTTGCTCTTTGAGCTGTCAGAGGCAGAAACCAGCTCTTATTTTTGTATTTTGTATTGCGATATCCTTCGCACAAATATGCCTGCTCTTAATACATTACAGAAATAATTTCTTTGTAAAGGGATGGATTCAATTTTTAAATGTTAGACAATCTTGACTGCTTAACTAACCCACTCAACCATTCATTATTTTTCCTTCCCAAAGGCAGCTTGAGTTTACCTATTCAAGATTAACTGCCAGACGTACTACTTGGCTTTAAACGAAACTCGAATCAAATTACACACGTAAACAAAATTCATTAGAATCACAAATGTAGCGGACTGTATCACTTTTAAATGTTACTTCTGTTAACAGAAATTACACACACAAATGGGAACCTATACATATTTTACTCAATGGACACTCCTGACTCCTGATGGACTCGTTCACTTTTTTTACCAATGTATTAATTTTGGTTTTCCGGTTTAAATAACTGAACAAAGAAAATGAGGAGTCATACCTTACCACATCTTTTTACATTCCACTCTTAACCGAAAAATGAAGCAGAGCCCGATTCGTTCTAATTCACCTAGCAACAAATGTAGCTATCCCAAGAATAATCGTAAATGAACCAACAGTACAATTCTGAGGGAAATTAAATATGGTTAAAACAGTACAAAAACTCAAAATGTGCATTTTACTCAACAGCGATTTTCATAATAAAACAGGAAGAAGACCAATTTTTATATGAAAATAGAAAAATAAACTGATAATTTTGTGTATTTCATTTTTAATCATTCATATGTAATCTCTCGATGCCTCAATGAACTTTAGTGCGTTAGGTCTGCTGAATCGTTGAGTCATCCATATTCAGTTAAAGGATTCTGGAAAGCTTGTTATAGGAAATAAAAATAGTAAAAGTTAGACTTCAGATTAAAGCGGAAAAATGAAGAGAATTATTAATATCAGCCGCATAGTGGTTCCTAGGCAAGTTTTGTCTATACATTCGATTTCCTCCAACGTAATCAACATCGGTACATTAGTTCAAATAAAAAGTTTAATGTTAGAAAACAATGATTGAAGCACCATAAAAGCCCAACACCTTTGAGAAACAAATTTGTCTCTCAATTCAGCTATATTTTTTGTAATATATAATTCTTCTTGTTTCCTTCTAGAAATTAATGAATACCATTCGATATATAAAAAATATTTGTTGAACAAATCTGATTACAATAAGATAATAAAGTAAACCAGTTAATTTATATTTTAATAATTTTACATATCACTTTGTTCATATTTTAATGTTTTTTATGCTGGTACTCAGTGGCGTAAATAAGGGTATGCAAGGAATGCCGTGGCATAGGGGCCCGTAGGCTTAAGGGGCTGAATGTTCTGCTGAACGTCATTTATATGTCGCAGATAGGGGGTTCTTGTAAGCAGATATAACAGCCGAATTCTGTGTTAAAAAAAATGGCTATATGCTTTAACTTTGATTCCCCTTTCAAGTCATTAGCTATAACCGAGGACAGACTGTTGTTCGGGGTTATTGTGATAACAAGTTCTGAATTTGTTGAGGCGAGTACGTAACAATGGCTGCAAAAATTAAGATACAGGAAGTCAGGCCCCTGAAGTTCACTAGAATTCGCAGTAATTCAAGTTTCAGGAAATGAATTCACTATAAATGGCGTATCTCTTATCAAATTGTTGCCGTCAAATTTTATCGCCCTGTATTATTTTTTTTAAAATTAAATAATGCAGATTCTGATTGTATGAAGGTATGTTTCGCGCATTTTTAAAAAACGAAGGTACCTAGAACCATTAAGTTTTGAATAACATAGTCCTTCACCCAAACATGTGCACCTGGAAGCCCGAATTTTGAATTTCCAATTTGTTTTATTATTTATTTCATATTTTGTAAAGCTGTAATGAATCTCAAAGGGAGCAGTAGCAATACTGTTCGAAACAAAAACACTTTTATCTCAGCGCATGAGAGTGCTGCCAATCGTAAAATGTGTAACATATTTATTTATCTTTTAATTAATAAAGTCGTCTCTATGAAAGCAATGTGTTACCGTTGATAGAAGAAAAATTATTTTATCTTTCTCACGTTAGCGTGTTGCTATTCAGTAAAGACTAAGATTCTTTCATACTTAATCTAGAAGGTTACTGAAAAATAAACTAAGCGTTTTAAAAGCAACAAGCACAGTTCTTGAGAACATTTTTTTTACTACCTCCTGATGTGACTAATTTAAGTAAACATGTTTAAAATCATGACATGTTTAATTAGAAGTATTCAATATTTTTATGAAATTATATTAGCGGACTCATTAAATTCGCTATGCACTTTTTCTTTTTTATGATAACTATATTATGTGGCTTGCCGTACGAGCAGCTAGTTTAAAAAAAAATAATGTAGCGACTATAGATAGGCTGTTTTTAAATATATTGTGATTTTGCTGTTGAACTGAGTTTTATACGGCTTAAGTTAAATGAGCGTAATACTTAGTAAATAAACTTAACACATAAAAACTTAATTACGCAGAAAACATTGTTAGCTATCTTACTAAGAAAACTGGATACTGAACGGAAAAAACTAAAAAGAATATAAAAGTGTATGCTAACACTTAATACTCCATCCAGAGTTCTAAACATATGCTGCTATTCAGCTTTTAAAAATTTTGTGATATTGGTGTTGAACTGTATGTGGCGTAACTGCAAAGAAAACGATGCGTAGTAATAGAGCTAAAAAGACCCCCCTCCCAAAAAAAAAAAAGTGCGTTCGAGATAAAAAAAAATGCTTTATTTCCTAAAATGTTGCCATTGCTCGCTTTGAAATCGTTGAGTTTCGTAATCAAAAACTCATAAATGCTTTACAAAATATGAAATAGATAATAAAACACTTCCCAAATTCCAAATTTGAGTTTCCAGATGCCCATATTCGGTGGAGGATTACGTTATTCAAAATTCGATGGCTCTAGGTACTGCCGTTTTATCACAATGGCAGAAACATAACATACATTTATGCAGATTCTTTATTATTTAATTTCTTTAAATATAAGACAAGGCTCTAATATTTGGTGGTAACAATTTGAAAAGTGATTCGTCGTTTATAGTGCTTCAACGCAAAATGACAAAACGAAATTAATAGTCCTTCTGAATAAATTGCACCTTTGGGCTTTAAAAAAAAATCTGAAAGGCTTCAGATTTTAAATTACGTCCAACGGGGCGTTTTTTTAACTTTTTTTTAGGGGCCCCCAAGAAAACGTTTTGTATAGGGGCACAAGAGTTCTAGTTACGCCACTGCTGGTACTATAGAGTATCGCAAAAAACAGCTGCTGCCTCCTACCGTCACCATCGAGATAGATAAGGCCTGCGTGCTGAGTTACTACGTCACTGCTAGTGGACCGGTCTTCGCGCAGTTTAGCTTCTTTGCTAAACACCCGTTTTTCTAAACCTATTCTATGAAATTGGTATCTCATACTATAAAATCAGTCTAAAACAAAATTACAAGCGGCAATATAATGCTTTACAAAGCTTATACGAATATGAAATATTTTCATTTTTGTTGGTATTTATTTTCAAAACA